AATAATATTATATACCATGTCTAATAGCACTTCTCATGATATTCTCCTTGTGTATGCCTGTTTGCTTTGCATGTTGCTTTTAGTTAAGTGTCATATAATTATTTCCAGGGAGCTGCTTGCTAGAGACCACAGTGATCTTGTCTGGTCTCTGAGGGTGTGTACACCCATTTGTAACACCCTATGTTCACACCACTTTAAGCTATATGAATGGAGACCAGAAGCAGAATGTACCATGCTCACCAGTCCTGGCAGCCGCTCAGAAAACCTTATCTAAGTAATTTGGAGTGAGGGCATAGGTGGCACAAGGCCAGGGATAGCAAGCCTTAGCCCCAACAAACTGGGCTGGTGACAGTGGCTTCAGTGCCATCACCACCACAGCACCACACCCAGCATGCCCACTATGTGCTCCTCTGCTGACACATGCACAGTACCAGTATGCACTGACCCCAGAATGGCTCTGTGGGGGGGAAGGTGTGGGGTCAGGTAGGCATGCTCCGCACCACCCAGCCCCCACAAATAATATCTTCTAGTATCACTTATATGTGGGGGGAGTGGGAGAGATCAGGAGGCAGTGAGTGGTGTTAGGTGACAATATTTATATTTTGGGGAGCACTGGATTTGTAGCTGAATAAAAGGCATGACCTGTTTCCTAGCGAAGCTCCTAATCACAAGGCAGAATGATACATTAAAAGTATATTGCAAGATGCTTAGGCAAACAGATTTTTCTTATGAATGCTTATGCTAAGCCAGCCATTTGCTTATGCTAAGTAACCATCTTAACTGTGTCAACCATTTTCAAGTGAGTCTGTGTAAGTCTGTGTGCTGTAAATGAGGTAAAGCTTTAGGAATGTGGAAGATGGTACAATTGGGACAGAAAAACAGATAGGAATATGGAAGATCACACATAACTGAAATGAGCATAAGGAGAATGGTGATTGGTGAAGAAGCCTCCAGAAGCTTCCAGGTTTTAGTCAAAGTCCACCCATTGACCAAAGAACTAGGGTGAAGGTCTTAGACATATGCTCATGGTAAAAAAAACCCCATGTAAATGAATGAAATGCACAGGCAATTCCATGCTAATGAAGTCAACAGTAAACAGAGGCAGAGCTTAAGATGGGAGGAGGAATGGGTGGAACAGAAGGAAGGACAGAGGTGGAATAAATGTTAATAAGCATAAACCAAAGTGTATAAATGTGGAAAAAACTATTGTTCATTTCAAGTCCCCGGTTTGCTGTTTTTTTTCGGACATTTGTCCAAACCTGTCTCCATTCTGAATAAAGCTGTTGCAAGCAATGTGTGCTGGTGTTTGCTCCCTGCTTACTCTGGCTAATGAGTAACGGGATCCATGAGCAATTGGATCATCATCTCCCTAGTCGTTGGGCATCACATGGAGTTGGGGTTTAACAAGTGGGTCCATGGGCAGGGGGGTGAGGGGATTGGCAGGTCTGGAGGAGGTTAGTGTGATCAGAGGGGGGCTGGCAGGTCTATAGGGGGTGGTTGTAGGGTGGAGAAAGTGTGCCTGAGGCTAAAAGTAGCCCAGTCAGGGTTGGGGGTAGGAAGAGCACAGCCCTCGGGCTGGGGAGAACAGCTGAAGCCTCTCAGAACCTGGGGCTGCACTCCAACTACATACAAGCATTCAGTTGATCAGGTTAACCTGTTCCCAAAGGGGGCACATACAAATGCCCCTAGACTTCTCCCCCCAAGGACCTGACAACCTGCTTGATTAGTCTGCACTCCAGCCTTTCGTGTGTAGGTCATATCACCTAACATTGCATCTTGTCTCCTCAGACAAGCCAGCCCTGGCACTTAACTCTTCATTCTCTGTGCACAAGATAATTTGGTAAACCAAGGCAGGTAACCTTATAAAAACATGAAAAACAGTTCTCACAGAAATATTGCAAAAAACCCCAAAAAATCCATAGTCCACTATACATATAAACACACACGCATACATACATATATATACACACACGCATACACACATATACACACACACACACATATACACATACATATATACACACACACACATACATATATCTGCACACGCATACACACACACACACACACATACATATATCTGCACACGCATACACACACACACACACACATACATATATCTGCACACGCATACACACACACACACACACATACATATATCTGCACACGCATACACACACACACACACACATACATATATCTGCACACGCATACACACACACACACACACATACATATATCTGCACACGCATACACACACACACACACACATACATATATCTGCACACGCATACACACACACACACACACACACACACACACACACATATCTATGCTTTAAAACTTGCCTGGCCATCTTGCCTACTCAGCTCCTTTAAAGCCTGCATAGCTGGAATGGAATGAAGGCTTCTGGGGTCCTGGCTCCTTTTCAGTCCTACTTGTATCAAAGATGGGGAGTCAAGATTTTGAATGCCCTTAGAAGCCTAGTGTTGAGTCTCTGATATATTCTGAGAACCAAAAATGGTAAAAGGCCAGTCCCAGCAACATTATATACTCACAAACATCAATTTAAATACATTTTAATAGTAAATTTAATAATGAAATACAAATTAAATATAAATGGCCAAACAGTGCAGGTAAGATATAAAAAATAAATTATATTTGTATAAATAAATAACAATCTTGTTAACATCTGAGCAAATTTAAAATAATTTTTTCTCATTTCAAAAGTTTTAAAAAGCCACTAGCACATGTCCAGCCTGTTAGAGAAAGAGGGACTTCTCACCTAGGTTTCAAATTAAAATTTAAAGACTGTTTATCTTAATTCACCTGCAGATGAGCTATTCAGTAAAAACTGTAATTCAAGGCTAACAAGCAAAGATTCTGTCATAAGCCAATATTTTATACTCTATTGCCTAACTAAAATATCAAAAAGCTTACTAAATTAGGAAAAAAATACAAAAGCATTCCTGGTAGCTGATAAACTAATCAATATTCATATGCCAATTATTGTTCCCTAGTTAAGCTGCATCTTAGCCAAAAATATCCTTGTCTAGCATCAAAACCTTAAATGGACTCTAAGCTATCTTTAACCTAGTTCTTTTTTTTCCATTCCATCTTTCTTGAATTAAAAAAAAAAAAATGGTTCACACCTTCTGACATTCTCTGGCACAATCGTTTCCTTTCCCTCACCTCTTATACAAACTTTGGTCAAGCAAATTCCAAATGACAGAATACCATGTTAACATTAAGCAGCTGAGGGCCTACTTTAGTCTTCACTTGGTGCATCTACATGAAACTGTTATTGCAGAACAGATTAATTAACCCCTCAGTAAACATCTTGCATGTACACCTGATGCCCTATTAAGTCACAGGAAACTAATTAACTCTGCAGCAGGGTAATACTTGTAAATACCATCATGCCGTGTGGTTTTCTACTCTGAAGCAATGCATGTGTAGATGCTGAAACAGCTGGCTGGGGCAAAAGGGTGCTTCATTGTGGGGGCTATTTGCTGGCTAGTTCTGCACTGGAGCACCCTCGTGCCCCAGCCAGCCAGCCATTACAGAGCATGTTGAACCACATCAGACCTGATAGCTAGAAAATGGTATTTGGAGTTTTGCTTTTGGGAATTGGCTTGTAGGTAAAATAGATATTGAATTAGAACAATGGTCCAGGGGAAAGGCAAGGGTGAATTGATTTCTAAAAGCCTGTATGTGACAAAATTCCCTTCAAGGCCCACTGTGTCTGAAGTCAGCAGATACACAGGCTGGGAAATTGAAGACATACCAAACTTCTATATTGTGGTGCATCAATAGAGATTTTGGGGGCCAAGACTGATATCCAATCTTTTAGGGGGCATATCAGATGATACCGAACCAATTTCCAATACAAGGTGGAGAGTTGCATTCAGGTGGTAAGTCCATTTTGGTGGAAGGGGAGGGCAGAGGGAGGGGGCATGGGGCGGCAGATCAACCCCCCCAT